CCTTCCTTCCTTCCTTCCTTCCTTCCTTCCTTCCTTCCTTCCTTCCTCTCTCTCTCTCTCTTTCTCTCTCTCTCTCTTCCTTCCTTTATTTTCTTTTTCTTTCTTTCTTTTTTCTTTTTAAACAGGGTCTCTCTATGTATTGCCTGGATGTACCGGAACTGTCTATGTAGACCAGGCTGTCTTCAGACTCACAGAGATCTGCCTGCCTCTGCCTCCTGAGTGCTGGGATTAAAGGTGGGCCCTATCACACCCAGCCTGATGAACAGGTTTGAAAGGGTAAAACTGAGCTTCCTATTAATTGGTCAGTTGAAGAAAACAACAACAATTATGACCTCTTTATGTGTTCAAAACTGGTATTTGAGGGGCTGGGGAGAGAGCTCAGTCAGTGAAGTACACATGGCAAAAGCAGGAGGCTCAGCATTTTTTCCCTAGCACACATTCGAAAGAGCAGGCCACCACCGTCGGTGTGCACCTATAATCCCCGCTGGGGAGGTGGGGACAGGAGGCTCCTGGGGGCTTGTTGTCCAGCCAATCCAATTGAGCTGGTGAACATCAGGTTCAGGGAGAGATCCTGTCTTTAAAAAAATAAGGCAGAGATTGAGGAAGACCCCCTGCATCAACCTCTGACCTCCACATGTGTAATCATGCAAAGCACACAGGAAGACACATAGACACACAATCAAACCTGGATAAAACATGGAAACAGCACTGTGGAAACACATTTTAAAAAACAAAACTGATCCTTTAGCTTAGCCTTTTCAAAGACAGGCCTGAACTTCAAGCCAGAACTAAGAGATGAACCTTGAAGACGTTCACAGGTTGCCCTGGGAGGTATAGCACAGCAGTTAGTGTCTACTGGATGGGAGGTAGGAAATCCCCGAGTAATTCGAAATTAGCTACACAGGCTGCTGTTGACTTGAAGTTACTAACCGAAGTAGCCGAGGCTAGCCCCTAACTTGTGATGCTTCGGCTTCGGTGCTGGGATTGTGTGTGTGGACCACAAGGACTGGCGGGGAGGTCACTTTCTATTGCAATACATAATTTCCGGGAAAGCTGAACTGCCGGAGCAGTGGCTCTCAAACTTCCGGATGCTGCAGCCCGTTAAAATACCTCCTCATGTTGGGTGACTCCAAACATGACATTATTTTTTGTTAGCGCTTCCTAACTGTGCAGGATGTCAACCCAGGGTCTGGATACACAAGCTGAGAATCGCTGTGCTAGATCAGTGTCCCATCTGCCATGGATATCCACAGCCCTGGCTGAAAGAGCAATACACCTTCGACATCAAAACAGTCAGCTGACAGTTATTAACTTGATTATCCAGACACCGTGTGTACATAAACCTAAGGGGGAAAAGGCAAAACCACTCCAGCATGCTTTCAGGGGAGGCAGTGCTTCCACACAGCATTAAAAGGAGCCAGGTGCCGTGGCTCACACTTGAAATCCCAACACTCTGGAGATCGACGGAGGAAGACCTCTCAGAGTTCAAGGTCAGCCTGGGCTGCAGAGTAAGAGCTGTCTCAGCAAACAAAATGAAACAAAGCAACAAACGAAAAGCCAGACACAGACTTGAAGCAATGCTGGCAGAAGTAAAAGCAATTCCAGGTCACCATCACAGAAAAGATCATCTGCCACAAAACAAATGAGTTCCCCTTATGATTTGAAGATCCCCAAAGTTCTTGGGCTGAAAGGGTGGCTCTGAGGTCAAGAGCATGTAGAGCATGTGAATGGATGCTTTTCCAGAGGACTTGAGTTTGGTTCCCAGCAACTTGGTTCCCAAGTCAACTATTAGCATCTCTGGCCCCAGTGAGATCCAGTATGTCTGGCCTCCTCAGGTATTTGGATTTATGTCAAACAAACACAATACACACAATTTTAAAATAAAATTAATCTTTAAAATAATATCACCCCAAAGGTCCATTTGAAATCTTTGCCAAGAAGTCTTGGCTAAGCCTACTTCTGTCCCAATCACCCAACTTCTGGCTGAATGGCTCAACCAACTGTCTCCCTCCAATCTCCTAATCCCAGTTTCACCTGTACCCCAGTGTCCTTCCCTGAAATCAGAGGGCTAACCTCAAGACACTTGGATTGAAAGGAAAGTTTACTGAACTGATGTAAGTAGAAGAGACTCTTCTGAACTCAGGCACTTCCTTTATAGCTAAGAATGGCTGCTTACTCACTGCCCACGGACTCTTTACCTTCATAAAGCTCACCTTGAACAAACCTATCCCCAGACATGCTGCTAGTGTGTGCCTCAGCAATCTTACATAGCTGTGTTAAGACCTGTACACACACAGTGTAATTGTTTGATGGAATTAGAAGTCCTCTGCAAGAGCAGCACATCACATTACTGCTTGTATGTTTTATATAAACTAAGAAACTTTTATAGATGTTGACATGTCTGACTTTTTTTTTTTTTTTTTGCAGTTACACTTCCAAGAATTGCCTCACTCTAAAAACTATTCCATTTAAAAGCCTGGTGTTCTTTTATGGTTATTCCCAGCTCACTGCAGGTGAGCTGGAGTTGGAGAACAAAGTTCCCATGGACACTACCACCTTCATGGACCTTCAAATATTATTTGACGTGAAAGAGGTCCCAGCTTCCAAAGCCCACATAATGCTATGCTTTCATTCACAACAGGCAGACCTCAGAGACAGAAAGAAAAACAGTTTAGTGTTTGCTGGGGGGTGGGGGAGAGGTAGGGATGAGGCTGCTGATGGATGGTTCTGGGGTGTCTTATCAGGGTGAAATCGGTGGCAATGGTCTGTCTCAGACTTTATGAGTATGCTCAAACACTGTGAGGGTAAATCATAGGATGTGTCAATCAATTGGTTTTGATTTAAAAGGATGAGTAAATCCAAAATAAAATTTCAAACTTAAATCTGAAGATGCGAATCTATTTCTTTTCCCCCCGAGACAGGGTCTCACTTACGTAGCATTGGATGACCTGTAGCTTGTTCATAGACCAGGCTGGCCTCGAACTCCCAGAGATCCACCTGCCTCTGCCTCTCAGGTGCTGGAGCTAAAAGCTTTCACCACCATGCCGGACCTGCTATGTTTTTTATTTCATGTTTGCCTACTGTTTGAGAGCCTATGTTTAATGCTTGCAGGCTACATGTAAACAGGGAGGAAATGAAAGGGAGGTCAAGACTTGGGGTGGAGGGCATTACAAACTTTTTTTTTCCTCATGTGTGTATTGTTCGTGCGCGCGCGTGTGGTCATGCGTGGGCACATTAGTGTGTGCAGGTGAACATAAACTTGTGTAAGAATGTAGAAGCCCCCCTACCTTATTTACCAAGTTAGGCAGTCTTGAACTTAGAGCTCACTGACTGAGCAGTCTAGCTAGCCCGCTGAGCAAACTTTAAAAACCTAGGAACCCCGGTGGCTCTGATTCTCTTCCTGTTAGCTCGCTTCACAGTAATTATCCTTTCCAGAGCAAGGTGGCACTAGGGCGTGAGAGATGTGCAAGACCTTCTCCTGAATTCAAGGACCCTATTGACCCATGTGGAACCTGAGGTCTGGAGGAGGAAACGTTTTGCTGTCACCCAGAGAAGGGCAAAGTGCTGAGAAAATGGACGTTCTGGGCTGTCTTTTGCTCATTCTAAGTCCTGTCTGGGGGAGGGGCTTCCCGGAGAACCGAGCAAGGAAGCTTTGATTCACAGCTTCTCTCCAGGGCTAGCCTCTCCCCGCAGCCCCACAACTAACTTCAGGCTGTTCTCCAAGCGGTTACAGACAGATGGTGAGGTGTGGGTAAGGTCCACTGGTGCTTGCTCGCTCTCTCTCTGTAGGGGCTCAAAACACTCTCATCAAGACAAACAGAGCCTCCAACACTGACACTGTTTGTTTTGGTAATATCCGTTTTTCATGTAGCCCAGCCTGGCTTGATCCTCCCGGCTACAGATTCGTCAGCCCGGCAGGGCTTTTTTGTTCTGTTTTGTCTTTTAATTACTTGGACTTCCTGTCCCTAGCCACCTTCTTGAAAGATGACCGGATCCTCAGTCCCCAACTCATCTCTTGTGGATCTATTGCCATTGCTCCGGCGGGAGCTTTTAGGGACAAGTGACTTCTTTCTTGAACTCCACACCCAGGAGCGAAGCTGAGTCATCCGGGGCGGCCGGACTCCTCGCTCTGTGAGGTGCGGGAAGGAATGTGTCTAGGCCCCTGCGGCGTCCTGTTTGGCTGAAAGTTTCCAGCCGCTCCAGAGCGGACTTGCAAGCACTTCTCCATCCTGGTTCCCGAACTAGCTTGTTAACGGCACCGCACGCAGGCGCTATCGGGGTGCCAACCCGCACCTGGCGTGCCCAGCTCCCCCGGTCGATAACTTGCGCGCACCGAGCACCCTCCGGGGCGAATGGGAGGGTCGCGCGGGCCGGTAGGAACCAGTGGTACAGAGGTGCGCCAGGGAGAGTTGCGGCGGCGCGCAGGCGCACTGGGCTCCCCGCGGCCGGCTCCCGGGTACAAAGAGCTTGCGGTGCTCTGGCCCGCTTCCCGACCAGAGCCGGGGCTGGTGAGTGTCCGTGCGCTCGGTGGCTCCCGGCAGTCGCAGTGGACTCCTGCGCCGCGCTGCAGGACGCTGCCCCGCGCTCGTGGTGGGACTCGCGTTTGATTCTGGCGCTGCCCGAGGTCCCGCCCAGCGCCTACCGGTCCCGCCCCGCCAGCCGCCCGCCCTGCTCCGGCTCCAGACCCGCGGCGCTGGAGGTGAGTGGTGGCAACGCTGCGCTCCTGTCCCCTGCACGGACGATCTGGGGCGTCCCGGCTCCCACACTGCCCCGAGCCAGCCCGGTGCCCAGCCTCGTACTCTTGGCGCGTGCCTGGGCGCACGGCGACGTTGGCCCGGGGATTGCCCTGGGCAGGTCGGTGGGGTTGCCTCGGCTAGCAGTCGCCTGGGATCACCGCTGGCGCTCGAGGGGGCGGCGCCTCCCGACCCGGTAGTCGGGCGCGCTGCCCGTTTGGTACCTCCCAGCCCTTTCGGAGCCGAGGTGCGGTGCAGCGCCTTTTCCGAGGCGTCTCAGGGTAAGTTCGATGTCCTGTCTGGTCGGAGGGAGCGGCGATTAGTACCTCTTTATCCTGGTCCTGGAGCGGCAGGTGGCCCTAGCTGGTGTTGCAGGGTCTGGGCGTGGGGGAGGGGTGGGGCGCGGCCTTTAGGGACCGCCCTAAGCTCCGGGACTGGCGTGGGTTCCCGAGGACCTGGGGTGTCAGGTCCACCGGGGTGGGTGGCAGGGTCCCGAGGCACACTGGGTCGCGCAGGCACGTGGGGAACCCCGCGCTCCCGAGCCGCGGGGCCGCTGAGTCTCATCCCCCCGCTTCGCCAGGTCTGTTTGCAACTTTCGGAGGCAACTTTTCGCGGGCGGTGCTGCGGGAGCCGAGCGCGCGCCGCTGACCCGGCGCAGGCCGTGTCGCCCGCGTTCACGATGTGCAGTGGCGTCCCCCAGCGCTGGCTTTCCGCACTTCTCCCGGGGGTCAGTTCATCTCATTAATGTATCAGATCTGACCGAGAGCCTGAGACTAAGCAGGAATGCCGATCCCAGATCAGTGACCTTGGTCGTCACCGTAGGCTAATTAGGCACCAGAGCCTCCTTGCTTATTTGTAGTTGATGGGTGGGTTTGTTCGAGTTGATTTTTATACCGTACTTAGTCGTCAATCCTGTTTCTCCTTTCGTGCATCGCCCTCGTGTTTGTTGGACCCCTTCCACGTTTACTCTATTTAAGCTTAATTTAATTAAAAAGTTGGGATGCAGTAAACATCAATATACCTTTTTAAAATTCACGAGCCATTGGCTTTTAATATAATTATAAAATTATGCCATCATCCACGCTAACCAGAAGGTTTTCATTGCTCCCCATCTTTCCACAAAAAACTCCAACCCCAGAACAACGCTTTGCTGTTTCTGATTATAAGGGGATAGATAGTGAGAAGACACGTGATCAAGCTTTGGTTGTTTTACTGTTAAATTTTGGGAAAGGTGCGGAGCCGGGCGGCTGTGGGAGAGTGTGGCCGTTGCGTGGGGGAGGTTTAAAAGGGTGAGAACGGAGGAGTGGCCGTCTGTGCTCTAGAAGGGGAGTTCATTTAGCTCCGGGCATCCGGGGGGCCTTTGGTGATCTTTCTGAGCCCTACGATTGCCTCCTCCACAAGTCTCTCTAGTTGACTGAGTTACTATGGCAAACGTGAGTTCTGGCTGTGGGGGGTGAAGGGACCGCCTACTAAGGAGCGCGATTAAAGGGGGGGGGGAGAACCCTTAATATTTAAAAGCAAGGGTTATTTGTTTTTAGTACTTGGGCTCCAGCTCAGGGCCCCAAGCATGCTAAATAAGTATTTTACCATTGGGCTCCACTCCCAGCGCCTTAAAACTACTCTTTAAATGTTGCCCAAACTGCCCGGAAGAAACTACAGGTATTGATATATTGAAAACTAGGTTGATAATCCTGTGAGTACTGGAGCTCATGAAGCAGTCTCTTCCAGGGAGATTGAGAGGGGAAGAGTCTAGATGAGAGAAAGCAAAGGTTTGGGGAGGCAGAACCTTTAAATGGCTGTGTAGTATTCCGTCGTGAGACTGAACCACACTTTATCCATTTTAGAGTTGTAACAGGTGCTAGTTTTTGTCTGTGGCAATTGGGACTTTGAGTCAGTGTATTGGGAATAGGAGTAAAGTCAGGAGTTCTGAGCTAGTGTTTGGATTAGATGATACCATACTGTCAAATGAATTTCCAAAGTTGTTTTTTTTTTTTTCAGATTACACTTATATCTGCACTGTGTATGAGCTTTATACTGGTCCTAAATTGCATAGGAGATCTACAGTGGCGTCCTCTGTTCATATGAAGTCACATGTCTAATACTTTTATAGTTTAATAGTTTTGAAATATTGTTACTATAAAACCTGTGTGTGTGTGTGTGTGTGTGATGTGTGTGTATGTGATATGTGTGTGTATTGACACAGGATCTTGCCTAACAGGCTGGCCTCAGACTCACTGTCTAGCAGAGGACCAACTTGAACTTCCAAGTGTTGGGATGGTAGAGATGCATCACTATGTTCAGCTTAGGTGCCGGGATGGTTCTGCCGAGTGCTTTCATGTGACAGTGGCCATCCCATCACTGGGAGTGTTTATTCATTCTTTGGAATGGTATGTATTGCTACAGAAATCATTGTGTGTAGTTTTCTCTCATACCTGGTTGTTTAGTAGGTGGGGTTTCTCCTCTGTGTCTCTGAATCCTTGTTACTCTGTTCCCTGCGATGCTGAGAAATCTCTGAACCTAGTATGGAATTGAGTAGAGAGGCATCTTTGAGTTGGTGAAGATGTTCCAAAGATAGCACAGTGAGAGGGTCTCTTTAAGGTTGAAATGCTATTTCTCAAGATAATGGTGAGGTTGACCCTGATGCCTTCCAAAAAAAACAAAATAAAAACCACACTAAAAAAAACAAACCCCCAAAACTAAATACAAGAAAAAGAAAGTGAATTAAGTCTGTTTAAAAAAAAAAAAAAAAAAAAAAACCCTTCTGAATAGAGCAAATAGCAATTTCACTGAGCAGTCACGTTCAGTTTTTCTTTGTCTGATACTTTGTGGCAAAGGCTCTGAGCCTTGGGCTTTAGGAGATAAAAAGAAGGGTCTTATTATAAAGTGAGGTTTTGTTGCTTTTGTTTGTTTTGTCCAGAAAGAATATGTAAAAAATGTAAAGTTGGGCAAAATTCCAGCTCAGGGCAGAGGGTTATTTTATCTGTTTGGCGTTTGAGTTCTGAGTCAGGTTCCCTTCGGGTAGGCACTTAGTGGTTTCTGAGAGCTGTCCATCTTGGGCTGATCTTCAAGGAATCTCAGGGGAAATGAGGGGCCACGGAGAATCTCTAGGGAGCCACACTGTGGACGGAGAGGCACTGTTGGCTTCCAGGACGACAGAAGTGGTGCAGGATTCTCGGCCGTTCTTCAGGAAGGTGGTAAATAACGGAGCCAACAGAAAGGCAGGGCGACACTACAGGAGGAGGGCTGTTTCCTACCTGCACATCAGCACTATGGGCCCCCCTTTTGAAGACTTGGGGGACTGGGATCTGTGTGTGGCTGCTTTGTGTAGCTGGAGCTCTCAGCTTCTTTTCTTTCCCCTCAGAATTCAGTGGAGATTTCCCTAATGAGAAAGCTGGTAAGGTGATATCCCTTAACTCTGGTAAATAATAATTATATTTCTTTCCATGCATGGCATGCAGGGTCCTGGTGGAGGAAGCCTGAGCTCCTAGCAAGTGGGGAGGAACAACGGTACAGAGCCAGAATAGGAGGAAGGGGTTCCACCTGCCAGCAGCGATCCCCAGTGGCTCATTCGCAGAGGTAGCGGAGATCTGGGTGACAGACAGGTAAGGGGCTATACCTTGAGAACTGGAAGCTCAGGTAGACAGGGCCAAAGAAGTTAGACACAGCAGTGTTGGGCATGTGATGGCCATTTGAATGGCAGTTTGAGACTGCCCTTTTTGTCCCTGGACTTGTGGCTGTGAATGCCAGCCCTGCACAGGTAACGATCCTTGCTCCGAGCCCAGATCCCCCGACACTGCAGTGTAGAATTGGTTGCTTGCCGTGTGAACTTTGGTGAGTTACTGAACTGCTCTATTCTTCACTGTCCCAGAAATGGCATTAATAGGCTGAGTGTGTGGCAAACGTCTGTAAATCCCAGAGACTCGGAATGTCGGGCTGGTCATGAGTTCAAGGCCAGCCTGGGAGAGACACCTGTCTCCAAATGCAAAACAAAACAGACAAGATAATAAATCATCTTCGTAGAATTTGTTGTGAAGGTTACAGGAGCTAAACTTATTCTGTCGATTGAGGCAGCCACAGGGGCCTGCTCAGCAGCAAGAATGCCTAGCAGAGGAGCTGCTACTCTGTCTTAGCTGTTTCTAAATTCTAAATTGCAAGATTTCTAACATTCTCACAGTGCAAGAAAACGCATCATTTCTCTCTGGTTCCAGCTCAGCTGTGGTTCCTTTATAAGGGCAATAACATCTATTTCTGTTTTTAGGTTGTTATTAATTTAAAAAAAAAAAAAACAGCTGCAGGATATGGTGGCTTAAAAATAGTTTGTCAGTGTTACAGATTCTGTGGGTCAGCGGTGTGGACTGGGCCCGGATCTTGCGGAGGACAGTCACACTGGCTGGCACCCAGCTGAATGGAGGGTCTTGGGTATCAGAGGGGAAGCTGGGCTCAGTATTAAGTGCTGCTGGGAGGCCACACAAGGTGACTTCCATTTGTCTCCATGATGGTTTAACATGCTGGCCCCATGTAGTTTGGTTTTGCACATGCAGAGTGGTTGGAGGTTCTCCAGGGAGGGAGGGAGGGAGGGAAGGAGGGACTGTGTGTGTTTAATTTTAAAGTAAGGAATTGTTTCCCCAATTCTGGACACTGCTAGTGTAAAATCTGCAGTGTAGGCTGGCATATGGGGAGGCAGGCTGGACAGGATATAGATGAAAGCTGAAGAAAGTGACTGGAGTATTCCTGCCCCATCATGGATAATAATTAGGTTTTCCTAGAGTTAGGTTACTCTTCTCCAAGAGCAGCCTTTGAGTTCTCACTCAAAACCAACCCCACAGCAAGCACCCCCCCCCAAGAAAGCGGGTGGAAACAACCCACTCTCAAAAGTTAGGTAATGTCCCTTTTGACAGCTGCACAGACTTCAACGAAGAGAGAACAGTATCAAAGCATTTGCCATCTTTTAAAGCTATCTTCTATATTTGATGTCACAGATTTGTGTCCCCCCTCCCTAGGAAGCAATGGAATTGATATCACTGCCTTTAGAATTTTTTTTAGATATATATCTTATCATGCTAGCTTTTGTTCCTCTAGTTGTCAGCTATGCTTTTACATAAAGCATTCCATTCCTTACAAGTCCCTGGAGATGTGGGGAGCCCAGGTTTGTTGACTGTGCCTTGTGTGTTTGGGAGTGACAAGGAAAAGGAACAATGGAATTGGTTTGGGTGAGGGAGAGCTGACCCTATGACTCCCATGAATGCCCTTCCTCCACCCCCACCCCGCCCCACCGCCCCTA